ATTACACTGGTACATCTAATCTGATCCATTTGAATTGTCACAGTCAAGAGCATGATCACCGAAGACCGAGAATCCATATCGTATTCTGTTTCTTACTATAAACGAGTGATTTGCCAAGTCTGCTTACATGGAAAAGCTGTCGCCTAACTGGATTGTCTTCCACCACAAATAACGAATCACACTTCTCAGCCAGAGGAAACACATCAACAATTGTCCAGTGATGAATAGTTCCATCAACCACATGCTCTAAGAAAAAGCAAATGCGTCCAAACTGGTGGCCATTTACACTATGCAGCTTAACGATAGACCTTGGCTTATTCCCTCTGTATTTGTCGCCGACATAACGGACACTCCTACCATTGTCGTCTGTGATATCAAGCGTTCCATGGCATTCAGTCACAGTGTCTGTAAACTTGATAGCACTTATCTTCAAGTCCATTAGATAGAAATTCTGCATGTAGTGGCACATTTCCTTCGTCAGCAGACTGCGAGCGTTCTTTGTTGGTTGTTGGTTGTGTGATGCAGAACTGGTCTCGTTGCTCATCTCCTCCATTATCTGTTGGCTTATCTTCATCAAGGACTTCTCACCACCAAACACATTCCTGGGATTGAACTTCTGACTCAAAATCATGTAAATACACCAGTCATAAACCTAAAAAAAATCGATATTTTAAAGTAATAACTTTAAATATTTCAGGAATCTTAATGTAGAAAATTTACTGTTGTTTTTTTTTTCATTGATGGTGCATATAATCATATATAAGTATTCAGTCTACCAGTTGATATCAATATATTTTAACTTGTTTAGGATTTACTTAATTGAAATTGTATCTAAAATTAGTGCCACTTACTACATATGTTTCCATAACAGTAGACTCCTCTATCCCTTTCTTTAAACATTGCCTTGTTATCCAGCCATTTGCCCGTTCGTAGGGGAATAACCATCTACCATACATGGGTCCAAGTTTGGCCAAGTCATCCACAATATGATGAATCAAATGGGTTGTGAGATTCTAAAAAGAATATAGGCAATGCAATTTTTTATATTTTACGTGAATCTTAAGAATCATTCTTGATGCAGCACAGTGGGTTTAAAGTACTGATCCTATAAATCAAGGCAAAGATTGAACTGCTAAACAAAATAACTTGAATCAATCTAAAGCAACCTTATCTCAGTTTCAAATTATCTCTGTTTCAAACTTAGGACAGCTTATTTAAAATAAATATGTAATTATCTATCCACTGACAACAAGCCTATATAAACTGTTATAAACAATGGCCAACAGGTCTACATATGCATGCATGTAATTTTTTTTCACATTTATAATTAATATATCATTCTTAATAATACAGATTTTTTTCTGGCATTTTACCTGCATTGTAAGTGGAAAGTCTCGTTCCAGCATAGCGAGGGCTTCATGTGTATCAGCTTGGAGTTGAGGTAGTTCAGATATAGTCAGCTCAGGTGCAACCATTCTTTTGATGACATCACAGATGGCCTGTAGAGTCTTCTCTTGAGCTGGAGGGAGAAATCCACGAATACACCACTCAAATGCCCCTGACGTCACAAACTGAAAATGAAAGCAAAACACATGTATTCCAACGATGAAATTGAAATTAATGATCCGATATAATCATGATAATATGTGTTTAAGATCCAGGAGTACTTTTTTTAAGATTAACCTGTTTTTGAGTCACATATGAAGTTAAACATAAAATTACTCATCCCTTTAACATGTATACAGAGAGGATGATATGAAGTTTTACTAATCTTTTCATTTTTATAGCGTAATGTGTATCAACATGTATTTTAAGAAATGTGTGCAAAATTTCATGCATCGAAGTGGGTTTTTTTTCCTAAAAGAACTGGATGAGTACTTAGGTAGTAAATAAATAATTAAGTCTCAGGCTACTATAGTTTTTAAATTTTGATAATTCATGTATTTTATCATCATCAAGGTCATAACACTTAGATCAAAACATGCTATTCAGCATAACTACTCAGGCAATGATTGCAAGTATCAGTATAATATAGATATGAATTTAATAAATATGATTAACTTACTTGAAATTTTGAATTCATCTTCCTTAGAGTCCAAATTTTGGTGAAGTGGGGCCCCGGGAAAATCTCTTGTGCATGGGTATAAACAATGTTCATTGCTCTTTCATCTGCTAACTTCATCTGTTCTTTAGTTAAGGACCATGGTGTCTCCAACTCTGAATGGCATTCTTCAATCTCTGTCTTTTGAACTTTTCTTTTCTTCTTTGGTTGAACAACATCTGTTCTTCCACTCTCTGGCCAAACTTGAGGAAATCTGCTGAATTCTTTTTCACAAGATTTTACCTTCAGGTTGTTGAACTTGCCAGAAAGCATCTCCATAAGATGGCTGATGAAATCTGCCAGTGTATGCATGCCGTCAGGTGACATTTGCTCGATCCTATTGTGATATGGCAAATTCTGAAGAATGTATTGACCTTTTAAGTCTGTCTGTTTCTGATGGTTTGTTTTCTGGGATTTATTGGGCTTCCGTTCGTACTGATTCCTTAGGTGGATTTCCTCTTCACGTGAGAAGGGCTCTGGTTTACTGTTCATGTCCTGCCCCTGGGTGGCAAATCCCTCGGAATTACGTAGCGGATGATCAGCAGAAAGAAATCTTCTGTTGGAAATGTGGATGGTTTTCTTCAGATGTTTGCAGTAATGGCCTGTTTCCGTACAGTAGGGGCATGATCTGAGGCCACCATGTCCAGACAAATGCAGCAACTTAGAATATCCGGGGATATCACAAAGATACTGCAGCAGTGCTACCTTAATTGACACAGGGGCAGATGTGTAAGAGTTGTGAACTGTAAATTCTGTAAGAGACAAAAGTTCATCAACAACAACAGACAGATAGGGCTCCAAGGACTTTGGTTCTGCTCCATTCTTGCCACTCGGTATAATCCCCATTAGCATCATAGGACCAAGCAGCTGTCTAATGGATGTGGGAAGAGTGATCCATGTCAGAATTATGGGCCACATGGACTTCTGGCAGGCTGAGTTTCTGTTTGGATTCACTCCATCGGTGAAAAGTGACAATGGTACGCACAGTTGCTTGTCCATTTCTTCAAACACTTGACCTTTAGCATACCAGGAGTGAAATTGTGAACTGTCGGTAAAGTCCTTTAACACTACATCACGATTACTTCCAGAATAAGTTATTGTTTTTTCATAGATCAATTTACACAGGTTTGATGTCCCAAACCACCGAGCCAACCGCGGTCCAATAGGCATATAGGAAAAAATTTTCCTTGATTTTCCATTCTCCATCCTAGGTTCAGAACACTTCGGGCACACATTGTCTCTTGCCAGCTTCAAATCACCACTATCACGAAAAATAACACAGTCGTTGATGCATACATCATGCTTCTCCAGTGGCATCAGAAATGGTGCAACAAAAGCTCTGGCCTCCTTAAAAGTTGCAGGCAAACAATTTGGTTGGGGTAGAGATGACTTTTCACACTGAAGGCTATCTGATACGGCAGTTTTTGACATTCCATTGTTCACTGAAAATATGTAGAGATGTTTGGTCACTGCCTCAAGGACTGTTGTGGATGATCCATCAAACAGAGGTTGTCTGTACTTCTCACGGTGATACTCATTTTCTGCATGATGAAATTGGGGTCTAGGCAAGGAGGAAATATCTTCTGTTAACTTCTCACTGTGTTTGTAGAAGGAATACCGTGATATCCAAGCAACTTGACAGTTGAAACATGTGCAGAACTTGAGGGCAGCTAAATAATAAAAATAAGCTTTACATTACATATCTGCATGATCAGACTTTCACATTATCAAATTACAAACAACATTTCTGGAATTATTACAATTGATATTATGTTTCACTAAACAATTTTTAAAAAGAGGATAATTATTAAAGTTAGAGTAAATATATTGATGCTGTTTTATTTTTAAATTCTAAAATGATCATTCATTAAAAAAAATAATTTTTACCATTAGGTCCTTTTTCCTCCATGCCCCCACTTATTGCATATGCATTCAAAATGCATGCCCAAATGAAAAAAATTATAACTATCATAGAAAGAACCTACTCCTATGGCACTGGAAGGGATACTGACTGTGTGTTAATTACTACTGTTGTGTATGAATTGCTACTGTTGTGTATGTATGGTTGCTACTGTTGAAACTCAGAGATCAGTCATCAAAAAGATGAAGTGTCTTTGATCAAATATCTTGCAAATTGAAAGCTGAGATTGCTGCCTACAGGGGTTTTTCTCTTAGATATACACAAGTCCAGAGGAAGAGTTGAATTAACAATGATTTTGTTAATTTATCAAGTTAATCTTGTTGAAATGTTAAGAAAAATCAAAAATACTTCTTTAATTGGTAAGACAAAAAAACTAATTAATTAGTTCCACTAATGGTCTTTATACAAGATTTAAAAAAAAAATATTGGAGAGGCACAACCATACTTCTTGTGTAAAATTTCAACAAATTTGATACCTTAATTTTTAACTTTTCATATAACACTTTTACATGTGTAAAAATAGATTAATCTTAATATATAACCTTGATAATCTACACTGTAGGTAAAAAGATGCAAGTGAGGATTTTTGAAAAAAAACAAAATAGACCTTAGAAATATTTAAATGATGATGGTGATTTGAATTTGTAATTTAATTGAGATCAAAATACTCTTCAACAGTTTTCATGGTAATGCTGCATTTTCTTGCATTTAAAATAAATCACTAATGTTAAGCATTTAAGTAAGCACCATGATTACTAATACACTTTGTATGTACATTTGAATAAAAAAGGTAGCAAATCAAATGAAGCCATCCCTTTTAACAAATTAATTATTTCTAATGGATCTATAAGTGTAGGTATTTAATTGCATGTTTGCTTTATCAAATTAAGTAGTGGTATATATATCATAAAATGAGGAGTAGGTAATTAAATTTAATCGGTTGAAGTGTTGATAGATAATTGGCGTAAAATACTTTACCTTATTCTGCCAGTTTAAAACATCAGTTGATCGTGATAAGATGGCTACAAATTCCGCTTTCCATTCCTTGTCCTGGGATAATTCCTATCCTGTGCAGAACCCGCAGCAGAGACTCTATAGACAATGTGACTTTAACTGTATGTGTTGTGCCAAAATGCAGCTTGGAAATTACTGTCCGTGCAATGTTCCCAAGCAATCTTGTGCAACCCAGACTGTTGAGCTTGACACATTTCCTCAGACCATGACAGTGGATAACTTGTGGAAAAGGGGGACATCGGAACACACTTCTCTACAAGTAAGTAAATTTTTATTTTTATAAAAAGGGTACGGTGTCATTAGATAAATTTAATGTATCACTTTCTTTGGTTATGCTGACTGAAGGCTCAGTTTAATTAAGTCATATTTCATTTCATAATACAACTGTATCATAATATGTTCAAACACAACACTTTCTACGACTTTTCAATAGAAATAATATATTCATTCATATGCATGTGTTTCACATAAGACAATACTATTTTAAATTTACATTCTTTTAGAATGCATATTGTGTAATATCATTTGTCTGTTTCAACCATCAACATTTTCCACAAAAGTATATAAAATTCATGACCAATGCATGCAATGCTTAGCTGATGTAACAAAATAGAGATAATTTTTTAAGCGACATTTCACCTGCATGATAAAATTAAATTTCCTACAGCATACCACATGTATCACAAGTACCTGAATGAACAAACGGCTTACAAAAACCTAAGATACACATAATACAAAATCAATTTTAAAAATTTAATCTTAATTTCTCTAATCATGTTCTTATAGTGCTATGAAAAAATTTGAATGGATTTTCTTTTAATCATTATATCATCTTTGATCTATTAATTCTTAATGTCAAATAAGAATCCTAAATACACTGCACATTATAGAGGTCTAAGGCCATGGTATTAGTGACCTAGCTATACTCGCAGATGTAACATGAAATCTAAGGTTTATTTCTCCGTTTGTAGTGATTAATTATCAGTTCAAGCATTCTCAACATAAAATTTGGCCTATAAGCAGATATGGTGAATTAATTGTACATTTTTTTTTGTAACTTCATAATAATCATGGTAATTATTGTTAATCAACAGTTGATTGTCTTTGAACATTTTTCCTGGCAAAGAATGGTGGTTCCCATTTCAAACAACTCCAAATTAATTTAAATTTTAATAACATGTTACTTTTTTCATGTGTAAAGACTGTTTTCTATTGTGATTTTAGTCTCATAATTTTACCAGTGTATGCAAACTTTTATCACAGTTTGTTTAATATATACCTTGACTAATCTCAATCTGCAGTAGGTGCATTGCTATTTGATATAATACGCAGCAGCTTATCGGTAATACGTTTGTTATTTTTGGGGGGGTGGGGTGGGGTGGGGGTGGGGGGTTGGATGCAATATCCAAGAATGTGAACATTACTTTCATCATATCACAAGTATCAGCTTGCAGGGAAAACACTAATTCATGGAATACCGATTTTAGAGCATCTTGGGTAGATTTAATGCTAGAAATAGTACTTAATTGTTATAAAATACCTTTGTATTGTTTGCATGTACTCAGTAAGTTAAATTATTGCTCCATAAAGATATAAGCTACAGATCAATAGTCAGCATGGTCAGTGCATCAAGTTGATGTGTGATGTATTGTATTGATTATGTTAATTACTATGGGTTTTATAGAGACAATGAAAAAGTATTGATTCAAAATCACATCCCCGATCATCGGCCTTCAACCAGTAAATCAGGCCTCTGTCCTTCGGCCCTATGGCTGATATTGATGTCTTAAATTGGACTGATACAGAGTGTGATTTAGAAGAGAATATATATACTGCAAAACTCGTTTAGTACGAACAAGGATATTGCAAATTTACGGATATAGCGAGGTCAAATTGGATCCCCAGCTATACAATTTAATGAATTTCATATACGGTTATAATGAATTACGGATAAAGCAAAGTTATTTCATAGATCCCGGTGACTTCATTATAACTGAGTTTTGCTGTATTAATCTCTGTAGTGTAGGGTCACTTGGGTACCGATTAATTACAATATCAGGTTTTTATAGATTATTTACATAGGACAAGATAGGGTAACAGCTGAATTTGGCCCCTTATTTGATGTAAAAATCAGAAAACTGGTAAAATTGTGAAAGTTTGTAGATAGGAAAATAAAATGATGCTTACTTTAAACCAAGTGCTAATTTATATTCAAAGCTTACATGGAAGCCACTAGAGGGTGCAGATGTAGGACATTTTCCAGAATTTACTCAATTCTAGTGGAATTTCATCATATTTGAGATACTTAATTTTCTCTTCAGAAAACATAGAGCACAAGCTTGCCAATCTGAGATTTTTACACAAAAACTGCATCTGATATTAGTGTATAAAATATAAAATATTTATATATATATATTTGGTAGATAGGCAAGTGTGTGCTCTTTGTTTTCCGAAAGAATATGTGCTGTAAAATCAATGAAAATTTGCATAAAAATGAGAAATGTCGAAAACTGACCTATTTCCTGACCTCACTGTGACCTCTGTATATTTTTAATCTCACAACCAATACCCATTTTGTGGTAGGGATGACAACAGGTTTCTATGGATAAATTGTTTGATCATCCTGAAAGACACCAAAAAGTCGGGAGCCAAATACTGGTCTTAATTACCCTATCTTGTCCTTTTTTTTTTAACTAAGTATGTACTAAATTACTGTAAGTGTCAATCTGTACCATTCTTAATTTTGAAAAAAAAGAAGAAATTTTCACATGATGATTAGATCAAAACTTGTTATTGTAAACTGACATGTAACAAAAATTATATGTTGTTTTATTTCAGAGTCTTATCACCAAATCCATCGACAAGTACAATTTGAAATCTTCAAAAGACACTCATCTCCAAACAGCAGTGAAGGAAGTGGTGACAATCATCAGAGCGGGCAATCATTCTCTCCAAACTGGCGATGAGGAGAAGAAAGTGAAGAACCGGATTTTGAGGGCCTTAGAGTGGAGGCGGTACTATTCCAGAAAGAGGTAACTCATATGTTTATAAAAAAATTATATATATAGTCCTAATTGAACAGTGGCTTGTTGAATACCACTGGATGGTTAGATTTACTTGATTGCGAACATTTTTCTAGTGTCAAATTTGCTTCCATAGAAGTTTACAGAGTTAAGTGTAAAACATAAGATATACTATTATAACTAATTACTTCCCCCAAACATAGTGATATTTGTTGAATACATAATTATTTAAGTCTGAAATGATACATGTTTACTGATTGACTTTCCCCAATAACATGAACAATTAACTTACACTCACTCAATCATTCTTGATTATATTTCTAAAAAGTTCATTTTATTTTTTCTTTTAATAATCACATGCATTTAATTTCCCTAGGAAAAAAATGCAAATAATATTTTAAATTAAGAGGTTTTATATTATCCTTTTTTTGCTGCATTCTTTGTTTTAAATTGAAGTTAATAAAGGATACAACAATTAGGCTGAATAAATCAATATGAATTGTTCCACTGATTTCCTATTGTGCACACACAACTCTCAATTTGTGCATGTCTCCTACATGTAGCATTACATGTATATTTTGAAAAAAAAGTTATAATGCCTGGTTTTACATATTTAATTTTTTTTTTTATATCACTCTATCATTGTATTGCTAATAATTAACTATTTTATATTTATCTAAAGAGCTCAAGCATTTTTTTTTTTAAATCTCTTCTTATTTTTAGAACACATGCATCAAGTCTTGGTGTGAAAGTGAGTAAACTTTTAAGGAAGAACCATGCAGGGACTGATCAGGCTGAGGGAGACAAAGAAAATCTGCTTCCACAAGATCTGCATGAAGTGTAAGTACATGTTTTCATATGTCAACATTTATATGATATCTTTACATCTATAAATTAAACGTACATCCTGTTAAAATAATTACAAAAAATAAAGATGATATTGCTACTAGTTTTTGTTGTTATATAAATATATTAATAACCTTACATGTATTTTATACCAGTTTCTAATATAAAAATTTTTGTTACAGAGGGCATGATAACCGTGGTTTCAGCGCAGAGTCTCAAAGCAGTTCAAGTGACGGCGACATTCCCCTGGCTGCTTTGGCTCAGAGAAAGGAATTGAAGAAGCCCTGATTCGAGTGTAACGGTTGCTTAACTTGCCTAAACCGCTGAAGAACTCAGTGATATTATTTAAAAGACTACTTTTTTGTGTTTCACAGGATGTGGATTTGTTTAGTCAACATGGTGAAAATACATGAACTTGTTTTCAGTGACTGATGTTCTGTACTTTAATATTATAACTGTTCATGTGAATAAACCTTCTAACTTAAATTGGTAAATGATTTTCATTTGAGAGCTATATGTATTGATCATATTTATTTATATAAAAATAGAATAATAAATTATCCTTTATCATATGACTTACACTTTCTTCTCCTGGACCAGATTTAAAAATATCAGATGCATATGTATTTTGCATGGCCATGATCATGATGATGATATCTGACCTTATGAAAAAAATACTTACGTATGATTATGAATTGATTTCATTGCTTAGCATACAACATAACATCGTAAGGAATCATTTACGATAGTCATGATAGTACATGTAAATTAGCATGAATTGATTGGGCATACTGCATTATCGACGAATAAAATATAGCTCCAACTAATGAAGCTTCGTACGATCATGACAATTGCACATTTCATAATTCACTTTGAAAAACACTCAAAGCAGCTTCTACTTACTATAAAATTTACATTCCAGACTGAAGAATGCGTCCTCGTGTACTCCATTAAGTCAAGGTCAGCTTCTTGTGATCTTTTCTATCCTCCATCCTTTGAAGAGTGTTTTCCCCAATACACGGATCTCGATCCCGAAATTTATTATGGTTGCATTAGACTTAGTACCAGACAGGAATTAAATTGAAACAATTTTTGATGCACCTTCGATTATTGTAATCTCACTATTTCTTATAGTCAAAATGATGTCATTTACCTACATGTAATTAACTCATTTGGAAATTATAATTTAAGTTTAAGAAGTATTTTATTCATAATATACAAAGTGTACAATATGGATTGAACAGCAGGGCAAGGGCCTATATTAGTTCTCTCATTTTGAGATCAAGGTACAATTAAATTACAGAACATATTTTGGAAATTTTAATGAAAATATTTACTGACTTAGATAATGCTCTTCGTCAACAAATTATTTCTGGTACAGCGATATTTTTTTTAATATTCTTCTTCAACGCATATTTCAAAGCATGTTTTAGCAATAAATATTTGACTTTGGAATTGGTCATAATACCCGTCTATGTTTTACGTAAGAATAGGTATGTAAAAAAAAAAACCCGGAAATTTCCGCCATGTATACAAATTTGATGTCACACGTCGATCCTCTCAATCAAACCAATACTTAAAAATTAGTATTAATTCCTTCGACATACTTGTAATACACCCCTACTTGTTCCTTCAATAAATTAAAAAAAACATAAGATTTTTTTTTTTCTTCTTTCCTGATTTTTCGTAATATCCCTATGTATATCGAACCATTCTTGAAGTTAACGTTTAATATCTTTGATTTCTTTGTTACAAATTAATATTAACATGCTACCCTGATTTTTGCGTAAATTCTGTGCGTATTATTTTACATGCATCTGTACATGTGCAACTATATGTATATCTTGTGTAAACCATTCTTGAAGTAAACGTTTAATATATTTGATTTCTTTGTTACAAATTAATATTGACAGCATGTTATTGTGCAAAAAATAAATGTCAACAAATAGTAAAGTTGAAGTTTATATAAATATTTATATATATAACAAAAGCCGCCTGAAAAAAAAATATATTTGAGTTGACAATAACGTAAAGGTGCATTTGTTTCCTGACTGTCTTTTGTAAAAGGAAAATCACTACTGTGCAACTACATTCATTTATTTGATTGCAGGGTTACCAAGATTAAAAAATATTTTCGTTTTCATAAATGCATTCAAATATTTACATTAGTTAT